CTGCTGCTGCTGCTGCTGCTGCTGCTGCTGCTGCTGCTGCTGCTGCTGCTGCTGCTGCTGCTGCTGCTGCTGCTGCTGCTGCTGAGGCGCGGCTGTTTGCTTTGGTGTTGCTGTCGCTGCTGCTGCGGCTTCCTAAACACAGCGGGAAACCAAACTTATCCTGCTGCGAATGCTGCAGCAGCAATGTCTTGGGGGCCGCTGTAGGAAGGAAGCTAGCAGCAGCAGCAGCAGCAGCAGCAGCGAATGGGGTATCTTCTGCTTTTCTGTTTGGTTAAAACTGTAGAAAAGGTAGAATTGATAACTCTCACTGGCATTACCCGCCTTGCTGCCTGCTGCTGCAGCAGCAGCAGCAGCAGCAGCAGCAGCAGCAGCTTGGCAGCCTTCGTGGGGACTGCAGCATGCAGCCCCCAGCTGCAACAGGGGCAGCAGATAAATCCCGCTGCCACTGTGTATTTTTTAGTTTCTTTTGCTTTATTTTTGCTAATTTAATTTTCCATACAAAGATCGCAGCAGCTGCAGCAGCAGCAGCAGCAGCAGCTGCTGCTGGAGCGGCTCCCCCGTGTCTACCAGCCACACACTCTTGCTTTTGTCTTCACTGCTCAGCACCACAACAGCCACAGCAGCGAAAGCAGCAGCAACAACAGCAGCAGCAGCAGCTGCTGCTGCAGCAAAACGAACAGCTTCAGCAGCACTGTGTGCTCTCTAAGTAGCACGAACGCACCATCTTTGGCAAGCCAGCAGCAGCAGCAGCAGCAGCAGCAGCAGCAACTGCAACGGCCGCTGCATCTGATGGCTGTCTGAGCTCACAGATGAACTGGGGGCCTTCCCGTGGAGCAGCAGCAGCAGCAGCAGCAACAGCAGCAGCAGCAGCTGCTGCTGCTGCACATCCTTTGCCGCAGTCCTGCTTACCGGCTTTAGGAGCTCCGGGCCTATTACGCCCACTTTTGCTGCTGCTGCTGATAATGTGCGGAAGTCAGTGTAGACCCCTGTGCACAGGCCGCAGCAGCAGCAGCAGCAGCAGCAGCAGCAGCAGCTGCAGTAGCAGCAGCAGCTGGCCCTTGATGAAATGTCTGAGCTGAAGCTGGAGGGCGAGCTGCTGCTGCGGCAGCAGCGGCGCCTTGCGCAGCTGCGGCTTGAGCAGAAGCAGCAGCAGCTGCAGCAGCAGCAGCTGCAGCTGCAGCAGCAGCAACGGCAGCTGCTGCTTGCTGAGGAACGGGAGTTTCTGAGCAGCAGCCCCCAGGCGGTCTTTCCCTATGAAGCTACTCAGCTGGTCCAGCAGCAGCAGCAGCAGCAGCAGCAGCAGCAGCAGCTGGAGCAGCAGCAGCGGAACGACCGCCTGCTGCGGTCCAGCTGCAGCGACAGTGAGTTGAGTGTCTCTGCAGCAGCAGCAGCAGCAGCACATGCAGCTGTTTCTGTAGCGGCGCGTTTTTCGCATGCAGAGAGGCTCTGCTGCCGCAGCTGCAGCAGCAGCAGCAGCGGCTGCAGCAGCAGCTCGCAGCAGGCCCCGTCCAGCAGCAACTCGCCCGTTGCAAGAACTGCAGCAGCAGCAGCAGCTGCGGCTGCTGCTGCTGCCGCCGTGCAGGCCGTAGAAGGGCCGAGGCGCGCCCGCAGCAGCAACAGCAACAGCAGCAGCTGCTGCAGCAACAGAGGCCCCCTGCAGCACTTGTCTCAGCAGCAGCAGCAGCAGCAGCAGGAGCAGCAGCGGCAGCTCGTCTCTTGCTGCTGGCGAGACGTTATTCAGCAGCAAATGTCCAGTGGCCTCTCTGCGCTTCCAGGAGTTGCTGCTGCTGCTGCTGCAGGAGCAGATGCAGCAGCAGCAGGAGCGCTGCAAGTAGCCCGTGCTGCTGCGGGTGAGGCTGCTGCGCTGCTGTCTGCAGCAGCGGGCGAAGCCTCAGCCCGCAGCACTGCAGCAGCAGCAGCAGCAGCAGCAACAGCAGCAAACAGTGCCCTTAACATGCGTTTTAGGCTGCCTCCGCTGCCGCGGGAGCTGCAGAGCTTTCCTGCTGCACCCAGCTCGGAACCAGCAGCAGCAGCAGCAGCAGCTGCTGCTGCTGCTGCTGCTGCTGAGAGATACCTGCGCCGAGAGAGCGGCTCTTCGGCTGTGCCTTCCTCAGCAGCAACGCCTGCCTCAGCAAGAGCAGCAGCAGCAGCCGCTGCTGTTGCAGCAGCAGAAGCAGCAGCAGAAGCAGCAGCAGAAGCAGCAGCAGATGCTTATGTGGCGACAGCAGAAGCTGCTGCGTTATCGGCTTCGGGCGCAGCAGAAAGTGCTGGCGCTGCTGCCGGTTGCGAGCAGCAGCAGCAGCAGCAGCAGCAGCAGCAGCAGCAAGACCAGCAGCAGGCGCTGCAAGAGCTAGAGTATGGCCATGCAACCTTGTGCCAATTAGGCCGCCAGCAGCAGCAGCAGCAGCAGCAGCAGCAGCAACAGCAGCACCACACTATGGGATTTTCTGGGGACGCAGCAGCAAACGCAGCAGCAGCAGAAGGCTCAGGGAGCAGCAGCAGCCGCGAGCGCAGTAGGAGTGCCCTAAATCATCTCCCAGAGTCTCGCACTGCTGCTGCTGCTGCTGCTGCTGCTGCTGTCACATCATCTGCTGCAGTTGGATGCCCCATGGAGGAGCCGGCGCAGCCATGTCAGGGCGGCAGCAGCAGCAGCAGCAGCAGCAGCAGCAACAGCAGCAGCAACAGCGGTAGCAGCAGCGCCAGAAGGAACTCCACGCAGCTTAATATATCTTCTGATTTTTCGTTTTTGTCTGCAGCAGGAGAGACGGCCCTAGGGTCCTCAGCCTGCAGCAGCAGCAAGACTGCTGCTGCTTTGTGGGGCAAGCGCAGCAGCAGCAGCAGCAGCAGCAGCAGCAGCAGCAAAGCCTTTGACTACAGCGCCCTGCGCAGCAGCATCCGGAATATCCGGGAGAGCTTCACGGCCCTCCCCGCAGCAGCAGCAGCAGCTGCTGCTGCAGCAACGGCGGCGCCCCCTGCTGCAGCAGCGGCGACAATCCCAGCGAAGAGCAGCAGCAGCAGCAGCAGCAGCAACAGCAGCAGCAGCAACAGCAAGCAGCAGCTGAAGCCACAGACAGACTCTGTGGCGTCGACAGCCTGTGGGTGGAGCAGCAGCAGGAGCCTTTCTACCCAGGGAACTGGCCAAGCGACGTTTGCGTCTGCTGCTGGCAGCAGCAGCAGCAGCAGCAGCAGCAGCAGCAGCAGAGGGTTAACCCCACTCTTATCTGTCTCTCCAGCTGGCAGCTTCGTGCATTCCTCTCCGCAGCGTCCTTTGCTGCGTTTGGGGCAGCAGCATGGAGATAGTCCAGAAGCAGCAGCAGCAGTTGCTGCTGCTGCTGCTGCTGCTGCTGCTGCTGCGCCTGGGTCTCAGTCTCAGCAGCAGCAGCAAAACGATCAAGTGGTGGCCAGGACTGCAGCAGCTGCAGGGCAGAGGGAACGGCAGGAGCTGGTACAGCAGCTGCGGCAGCAACTGCAGCAGCAGCAGCAGCAGCTGCAGCAGCAGCAGCAACGCGACCTGCAAGAGCAACTGCAGCAGCAGGTTGAGAGGCAAGCAATGCAGGAAGAGCTGAGGCAGCACAAAGTCTTGCTGCGGCAGCAGGAGTTGCTGCTGCAGCAGCAGCAGCAGCAACATGAAGAAGCCCTCGCTGTAAGTACACCGCAGTCTTTGAGCTCAATGTAGCTGCTGCTTGCTGCGTTGCTGCAGCAGCTTTCTACCTCGTTTGCTGCTGCTGCTGCTGCTGCTGCTGCTGCTGCAGGCTGGCGCTGCTGAGGTGGAAGCCTTGAGGACTGAACTTAAGCTGCTGCAGCAGCGCGAAGAAGAAAGCCGCCGGGAGTTGCTGCTTCTGCGGCACGAGCGGCAGCTGCTGCAGGAGCAGCAGCAGCAGCAGCAGCTGCTGCTGCTGCAGGAGCAGCGGCGCATCGACAGCCTAGAAGCCCAGCTTCGGGAGAGGGAGCACCGGCTGCAGCAGCAGCAGCAGCAGATGCAGCAGCAGCAGCAGGAGCTGCAGCAGCAGCAAGACATGTTCGATGCCTATCTTCTAGAACAAACTGCTGCTGCTGCTTCAGCAGCAAGAAGGATTTGTATAGGAGACTCTCAGGGGCTGTGGGCTTCTCGCTGCGGCTGCGATAGGTGCGTGTGCCTGCAGCAGCAGCCAGCAGCAGCAGCAGCAGCAGCAGATGCTGCTGCTGCAGAGACCTCTGCTCCTGCTTCTGCTTCGGCGATTTCTGGCGCTGCTGCTGCTGCTGCAGATGATCCAGACTACGCGGTCTACTCTGCACAGGCCAGCAGCAGCAGCAGCAGCAGGCTAGCTGCCGTCTCTCCAGCTGATAAACAGCAGCAGCAGCAGCAGCAGCAGCAGCAGTTGCTGCTGCAGCAGGCTGCTGCTTACAGCAGTAAGCGCGCTGCCAGCGAGGGCCCGCAACAGCAGCTGCTGCCGCCGCTGCCGTTCCAGGGCTCTAGCCCTGTGTCAGAAGCGCTGCAGCAGCAGCAGCAGCAGCAGCAGCAGCAGCAGCAACTAGAAGAGCAGCAGGAGACGGGGCTTGAGGGGATTTGTCGGCGGCTGCAAGAGTACCGCCTGCAGCAGCAGCAGCAGCAGCGAGAGCAACGCCTTCAGCAGCAGCAGAAGCAGCGAGAGCAGCGCCTTCAGCAGCAGCAGCAACAACGCGAGCAGCGCCTGCAGCAGCAGCAGCAGCAGCAACAGCAGCGGCAGCAGCGGCGGATACGCCCGTTGCCTGCCGTTGCGGCTGTCGGGGAACTCAGCTTGACGGGTTCCAAGGAAACTGCTGCTGCAGCTGCTGCTGCTGCAGCTGCTGCTGCTGCTGCTGCAGAGAGGCCTGCTGCTTTTTCTCGCGGAGCAGCAGCAGCAGCAACAACAGAAGCAGCAGCTGCAGAAGCAGCAGCAACAGACGCAGAAGTAGCAGCACTAAGAATTCCCGGCTTGAGGCAGTTAAGTGATGCTGATGCGTTTCAGCAAACACTGCTTAAGCAGCAGCAATTGAAGCAGCAGCAGCAGCAGCTGCTGCTGCTGTCGAAGAAGAGCAGCAGGCAGACGCTGCTGGGCACTCCCGCCACTGCTGCTGCTGCTGCTGCTGCAGCTGCTGACAGCCGGTCGTCTCTGCTGCTGCTTGTAGCTTCAGACAGCAGTGAGGACGAGGAAGAGCACGTGGAACGGCAGCAGCAGCAGCAGCAGCAGCAGCAGCAGCAGCAGCAGCACAATGCGCTACCTGATTCAGTGACGCGGGCTCGGCACACGGCCGAAACTGCTGCTGCTGCTGCTGCTGCTGCTGCTGCTGTCTCTGCTGCAAATGCACTCCAGATAAAGCCCCGCTGTTTGCTGCTCTCCTCGGATGAAGAGGAGACGACGGCGGCTTCTGTGCTGCCGAAGCAGCAGCAGCAGCAGCAGCAGCAGCAGCAGCCACTGCTGCAGCAGCCACTGCTGCAGCAGCCACTGCAGCAGCAGCAGCAGCGGCATCAGCAGCAACGGAGCAAGACAAACACATCCAGGGGGCGGCGGCTGTCCATTGAGACAGCAGAAGGCAGCAGCAGCAGCAATCGCGGCACTAAGATAATGAGACTGCACTGACTGCTGCAGCAGCAGCAGCAGCAGTGTGCTGCATTAGCATTTGTTTCAAGCTCCCGCCGATTGTCTCTTGACTGTCTTCTTTTGTGTCTCTCCATCTGTCACAACGCAGCAGCTAGCTAGCTAGCTAGCTAGCTAGCTAGCTACACTACTAGAGCAGCAGCAGCAGCAGCAGCAACAGCAGCACGGCGTGAGTCAGTGCAGAGGACGGCGTCTGTGTTGCAGCCAGCTAGCTAGCCAGCTAATTAGCTACCCAGCTAGCTAGCCAGCTACTTAGCTACCCAGCTAGCTAGCCAGCCAATTAGCTACCCAGCTAGCTAGCCAGCCAAGTAGCTGCCCAGCTAACTGGTCAGTCATACAGCCAGCCAGCTATTTAGCTAGCCAGCCATTTAGCTAGCCAGCTATCTAGCTAGCCAGCTATTTAGCAAGCCATCTGTTTAGCTAGCGAGCTGTTTAGCTAGCCAGCTATTTACCTAGCCAGCTATTTAGCTAGCCAGCTATTTAGCTAGCGAGCTGCAGTCGGCCAATAGCCAGAGCTTGCTACTACTTGCCTAGCTAGCTGCTGCGTGCCCCAACAGCTAGCTAGGTGAGTTTGGTGGAAGTACGCAGCAGCAGCAGCAAAGCGTGGCGGGCTCTGCAGCAGGACCAAAGAGTTTCTGCTGCTGCTGCAGCAGCTGCTGCTGCTGCGACGTCTCAAGACAGCAGCAAGGCTTGCAGGTCTGTTCTTCGTGGGGGAAGTGTCACATTTTAAGTAAATCTGGCATTATTTATTGAGTTAATTGAATTAATAATGAAGAAATATTGGACACTTGAAGACCCTCTTGCCGCGATGCCGTGCTGCAGCGCATGTGGAGCAGCCCCTGCAGCAGCAGCAGCAGCAGCAGCGCTAGCAGCAAAATGGCCAGTGTTGGCGCTGCTGGGGCTCCAAAGTAATGCTCATTT